ATTTCCGGTCGCGAGACCCCCTCCTTGCGACCACTATCAACCGTCACACTTCCCTATGCCCACGACACCTTTTTCTAGCTTCTTTGGGCATGACGTGGCTCATTTTCTCCTGGCCTAGGCATCCCCATGCAGTCCATTACTTCTTGGACTGCAATGGTGCTCATTTTCCTAGGCCCACAACCCCACAACTTGCCCTCAATTGAAAAAAAGGGAAGCACTCAATTTTCAAGTGCATCCGGGCTCAATATTGGCTCCGGATGCACCTAAAGCATGTATTCTCCCTTCCCCATGCAGTCCGTTGTAACTCGGACTGCAGTAGGGGCCCTTTTCCTAGTCCCATTACCCCAAAACTAGCCTCAAAAGAAAAGAAAACGGCCAACTCCCAAGTGCATCCGGTCTCCATTTTGGTCTCCGGTGCACCTAAAACATGTGTTTGGCCTACCTCATGCAATCCGTTGTATTTCAGTTGCATGAGGTCTTGATTTTTCTTGATTTTCCTTGCAAAATCAAGAGAAAATCAAGGTACTTTGTAACCGACATATGCCAGAATGAATCTGGTCGCAGATGCATTCCCTAGGTGACCGTTTTTTGTTGTTAGTGCCCTTTTGACTTTTTTTTTTTTTTTTTTTTTTTTTCTTTTCTTTTTCCTTCCACTTGTGAACAATAGGGACTTGCCAGTCCCTACTTGCTGCAGTCCCTACTGACGGCAAACTCTCTCATTCCCTCCCACCTCCCTTTTTTTTTTTCTTTTTCTTTTTCTTTTCCTTCTTGCATGCAAAGTGTCAACTAGCCGTCAAGGCCATTTTTTAGGCTATTCCTCTTTGTTTTTGGCCCTTCCCTTGCTCAAGGGTCAGTCCGTTATTTCTCGGACTGCACTTGTGGCCTTCCCATGACCATAAGAGTCTTCATTTGCCCCTATTTCTTTCAAACGGTGGACCTTCATACTCCGATTTTTGCCCGGAGGCCTATTTTTGACATGGAGTCTCTTTTGACTTCACTTTCTTGGGGGAGGCCAATCCGAAATTTTTCCTTTTTGCTCTCCCCGTTTGGCACTAGTGGTGCTAATATTTTTGGTCGTCAAGATCTTTGATCTTGACGGTGCGTCTTGCTTTAATTATATGCTCCTCGCGTTGTGCCACAATATCCCTTGGGACGTCACAAGTCCCCGCCACTTGTCCAATGGTAGTCCCCGACACTAGTCCCGCTAGTGGTCCCGCCGGTACTCGTCCCGCCCGCGGTCATGCCGGTACTTGTCCCGCCGGTGGTCCCTGACATTGTTCCGCTGATGGTCCCCGACACTTTGTCCCGCCGGTGGTCCCCGACATTGTCACGCCGGTGGTCCCCGACACGTTGTCCCGCCGGTGGTCCCCGACACTTTGTCCCGTTGGCACTTGTCCCGGACACCGTCCTTTTTGCTTAGTCTCATGTGGCCCTCGGTACCTTCCCTCACGGCATCCCGGGTTCCTTCAACATTTTTCCACCTCTAGGCGGTCTCACCCCCTTTGCTCTTCTCATGTCCTGCGCGCCGGTCTTCCCGACCGCGACTTTCTACTTGGCCCACAACCCTTTTGGCCTTCTTGACACCACATCTTGGTGACCCTCTTGGCCCGACTACATTCTCATGCGTCGACATCTCTACGTATTATTTTCTTCTCTCCCTCAATTCTTCTCCCTTTACGGCGCGCAACTTATGACATTATTTTATCCGGCGGTCCTCCTTTTCGGGGAAAAGGGCCGTCTTTGCTAATTTCTTGCGATCCCTTGTCGCTCGTTGTTCCCCTAGTTTCTTCCTAGTCCAGTGGTTCCGGCGGCCCCGGGTAACCTCTAAATCCCTAAGTGTCAGGGCTGATGCCTTTAGTCTTTCTACCCTTCTTGCCTCCGTTTTTTTCTGCCATGCACAATTCTGCGGTATACCGCTTCTCATAGGTCAGGACTTATCTCGGGACCCACCGGTCCCGACAACGGCTAGTTGCCCACTGTACCGTCGTCGATTGATTGCGAGCTGCAAATCGACAGTGCCATGTGTTCAAATGTTTGAATCGCATGAGCGATGACAACCGACATTTGTGTAGTAGGGTAGATTGCTGGGTTGCGGGGTGGATTGTGGACAGAAGGGCTATAGTTGGCGAGGGTGTGTGGGGATTTGTGTTTCAGACCCTCGTCTTCCAAGCGAACTTATTTGTCTGGGCGGTAGACCGTCGACTGGACGATCTGACGGGCGATGTGAGAGGTGGAACTGAGAGAAGAATATAGCTCAATTAACATAAAAATAAAAAGAGAAAATTACAGCGCAGTCAGGGTTACAGTTTGTACTTGGATTATTTCAAAGTTCATTCTTCGTCTTAGCAGTTTCGTCATAGAAGGGCAAAATTACAGAACAAGAAGCAATTAGGGTCTTGTTCGACATGGGGGCATGTGGCCTGGGAAAGCTCGACAGGGAATACGACAGCGTTAGAGAATTTTAGAATATTTTGTTGGGGATTCCAGGGGTTCTGAGCATTCAAAGGGCTTTTGTGGCTTTCTGTATTGACTTAGTAAGTGTTGCTTGAGTAGCCTAGCAATAGGTTAGCAGTTATCCATGTTTTTCCTAAATTTTCTAGAATCTTTTTCATAGTTCTCAGATTGTTCTTAGCCGAAGCCAGGTAATGGCCCTGGTATTTCAAATTATTTGTATAATTCTATATGGGACGCTGGGCCCGGTTCCCAGCACGAATAGACTGGAGCATTTGTATGAAAAAAAAAAAAGGGCCTCGTTCGACACCAGTACAAAACCCTAACATGTAAGGTTTTCATCGTTCCACCCCTCCCTAATCACGAAGAAAAAGAAGTCGAACTTGTTTTCACATTCGTGGCTATAAGGGCGGGCCCTACAAAAGTAAGGACTTCCCAGCCAAAACGGACCTTGACGTAAGGACGGCCATTGGACGTGACTTGAAAGTAGGGGGTGACACCCTTACATCCACGAAAAAATCGTGTTTTTTTTTGTTTTTTTTTTCCGTCAGCTGTGTCTGTGGCATTCTTGGTCCAACGACGGTTTTGTCCTGTAGACCTAGGGACAGCAGTCCCATGGCAACTTCTAACGGCCGTGCGGTTCCCCGCCTGTGCCCCCGCAGTCAGTGAAACCGTTTAAGCGCACTTAAGCACACGCTTAAAGACCCCTGTGCCGCGCTCAAATGCGCTTAAAGCGCTTTTAGGCCCGCGCGCTCGGAGAAAAATGAGCGCGCGTGTGCCACGGGTTTACGCGAGGGCAGGGGACGGCGTCGGGCCATTTACCCACAAAAAAAAGAAAAATTGGCGAGGGTGATTTTTTTGGGGGTTGTGGACCGTGGGGTTGAGGGTGGGGTGGGGTTGGGGGTGGGGTTTGTGGTGGGGTGGGGCTTGGGGCTGGGTGGGGTGCGGTTTGGGATTTGGGGTTGGGGGTTTGGGGTGGGGTGGGGTGGGGTCGTCATGGCCGTCGGCGCAGTCATCGCCGTCCTGGCCGTCGTCGCAGTCATCGTCGTGCGAAGGTGTTTCTCTCTCTCTCTCTCTGTCTCTCTCTCTCTGTCTCTCTCTGTCTCTCTCT